TTCAGGTGACTAGTCTTCATAGTAGGAGCTGTACCATCTTCAAGTCTTTTAATGTTTAATTAATAAGTGCTATAAGGTTATCTGAGGATCTTGGATAAAATCATTTTCACATTATAGCAAAATAGTGAAATAGTTGAAAAATCTTCCTGTCTTCAAGCTTCCTCCTTCATTAAAATGAGTCAAATTCAAACATTTATATTCTCATTGCTACTAACTTTGTAGGATTATAACCATTATGTGTTGTTAGTGGTGTTTGGGAGGGACAGGATTGTTTGTTTTCTATTTTAATTGCTCCCTTTTGTGTTACAGTCATCATTCCCTACTGCTGGAGTCACCAGCCACACTCCTACCAAATATTGGAGCAGCAGCTCTATTCTTCTCTCATTTTAATGATATGGGCTTAACCCTCAGGGACATTCACGTGTCCACACACTTACCGGTAGTGGATGGCAACCACCTCCATGGGGCCAGATTCTTCTGCTATTGCCTTGCTCTGGATGAGCCGAGAAGGAGTAATAAATAGCTTTAATTCACATATTATTTTGGAGGCTTCAAAAGACATTCATGTGCTTCATCTCATTTGACGGTCATACTTGACCATAAGACAGACAAAGTCACGTTCTTTCTCCATTTTGCTGATGGGAAGACCACAGTCCAGAAGGCACTCAACATTGAGAAGGAGTGGAGCCTAAGTGTACCTGTGGGGCCCCTTCCAGAATCTCATAAAGATGTGTCTTCTCTGCATGTGAAGAAGTTTTGAGGTTCTTCCAGGGGACCCTTTATATTTTAATAGTGAATAATGGTTTTCCCTTACCAGATGCACATGATGATGGAAATTTATGCTTTCTAAATATCAAATAACAGAAGAATGGTTAAATAAATTATGACAGATCCATATACTGGGATACTATGTGTCTATTAAAATTAGCGTTTTCAAAGAATGTATAATGGTACAGGGAACTGCTCTTGATTTTATCAATGTTTCGAGAAAGAAGTGGGTTATGAAACAGCAGGATCCCAATTTTTTTCAGAAATTATATGTGTGAAAAAGCACTAGAACTAAATATACCAAACCATTAGTACAATTTTCTCTAGAGAGTAGGATTATGGTTTGCTTTTATTTTCTTTTTAAAATACCTTTCTGAATTTTTCAGTATTTTTCTTCGGTGAACTTGTATAATTAAAAAAAACAAATGTTATTTTAATTACACACTGCAGATTTTTCATTTTAGCTAGAGGAATCCTTTGAGTGGTTCTTGCTATCTTCCGTTTTTAAAATTCCATTTTATAAATCTAACCTTGACATCAAAGTAAGTAGGTTGTTTTCAGTATTAGTGGATACATTTGAAGTAAATATCATTCATGTATATATTTTAAGTTGACCACTATAACTCATTTGCTTGTCTGTTATTTTTTGAACATGACTCCTTTTCACATAATTCATTAATTCTGTCAGACATCATTTTGAGGCCTTTCTATATGAACCAGGCTGAAGGTACACCGATGAAGACAGGTCAGTCTCTCTTCTCAAGAAACACCTAGGCTAGTAAAGCAGTAAGCACAGTGCAGGATGATCCATGGGAGAAGGCTGCGCAGGGCGCTCAGGGCAGGCAGAGGAAGGAGGCCATGTTCATGGGCCAAGGGGGAGGTTGGGAAACCTTCCCAGAAGAGGTGCCTCTTGAGCTGAAGGCAGCTCTTCTCTTTTGGATGACCAACCTCAGACTTAGAAGTAAGAATCATATATGTAAAGGCAACTATTGCTTCAAAGTTGTTTTACAACAGTTCAGAGTTTTGAAATGAATTTAAAAAGATAAACTAGTTCTTTGGGGCTATATAGGACCTTTACATTACTTTTTAGGAGTTCTTTTGGTCTTCAGAGCTTCCCTTTCTTTCTGTTTGCTTGCGTTTGCAACGGTTAGTGGTAACACCAAGGCATAGTAGTCTTGCTCTGAAATTATCATAATGTCGTGTTTTTACAGCATTTTATATTACTTACCCTTTTATGTAGTGGTTAATGCTGATGTTGATCATCTTCCATTTCTCTTTCATTGCCCCACCTCTTCCTCCTCTGCAGAGGAAGGGAGGCAGAGAGATGTTTTTGTTCTCCTTTTATAAAGATAAACTGAGTCATCAAACGATCAATTGACTTCTCCAGATTACGAGCTGACTCAGTAATGGGACTGGAAAGAGAAATCAGGGTTCCTTTGTACAAAGCTCTGACTTCTAAAATACTTCTCCATATAAGTAGAGTAGGTTGTTTGCCAAAAATGCATCCACCTTTTAAATCTTTACTCAAATAATGAGCTTAAAATAAAGTCTCTTGAAGATAATCGTGTTGTTACAGCTTAGAACAGAAGTTAAGGCTATTTGAGTAGATGAAAATGAGCCCTGAGTAAGGCTTAGTATTCCATCTACGTAATTAATTAGTTCAGCAATGGATTTTTATTTCTTTCGGAAAAAGAGTAATTGAAACATTCTCGGAAAACATTTAGGAACATTTTGGGATCAGTTTTGATTAATTTAATTTTTTTTAAATAAGAGGGGCAGTATTAAAAATGAAATCAGTGTTGACGCATAATAGCTATACTTCATGCTGTCGGAGGGTTATGACTTCGTTATTAGGAGGTTTCCTCGAGGGCGCCTGGGTGGCGCAGTCGGTTAAGTGGCTGCCTTCGGCTCGGGTTGTGGTCCTGGAGTCCCGGGATCGAGTCCCGCGTCGGGCTTCCTGCTCGGCGGGGTCCGCTTCTCCCTCTGACCCCTCCGCCTCGTGCGCTCTCTCTGTCTCATTCTTTCTCTCTCAAATAAATAAATAAAATCTTAAAAAAAGAGAGGTTTCCTATAATCCACTGATGAAAATAATACCATTTTAATGCTCTTAGTAATTATTCTTACTATTAAAGTAATTAGTACTCTAATAGTAAATGATGGTTATTATGCATCTTACAGTAGATATTTGAAGCAACAGTATAAATATGAATATGAAGGAAAACAAATACAAGTATTGCATTGAAATATTTGTAATTACAAATATTCATATATTTTGGATTAATTACAGAATAAAACAAAGCTTGAAAGCTGTACTATATTTTTATTTAAAATAAATACTTTGTTGGGGCGCCTGGGTGGCTCAGTTGGTTAAGCGGCTGGTTTCGGCTCAGGTCATGATCCCAGGGTCCTGGGGTCGAGCCCCGGATCAGGTTCCCTGCTCGGCAGGGAGCCTGCTTCTCCCTCTGCCTGCTGCTCCCCCTGCTTGTGCTCTCTCTTTCTCTGTCAAATAAATAAATAAAATCTTTAAAAAAATTAAGAAATAAAATCAAATAAATAGTTTGTTGATTTAAATATAGCAAATGTATTAATGAGAATTTTAAGAACTTTAAAATACGGGAATGATTCTATTATATTTTATATGGAGTAACATTTTTATTTACCACAATTACAGTGATCTGCTTAATAGAGTTATTACCTCAAATTTTTAAATTTTTGGCTCCTGTCCCAACCAGGCCCAAGATTTTTTATGAAATGCATTATTTAAATTGCCATCAAGTGATGCTTATCAGGTTCCCACTTGGGCTTTGTTTCTAGGAAAAATAGAAACAGAAAAACATAACCTCATCACCTGAATGATATATTCAGAGTTCAAGAGAGATATACATGGAAACCCCTACTTGTCTGGGGATAAGAATTTGGGTCTAACAAATGTCATGAGGGCAGAGAGATATTCTGTGGCACCCACCGATCTGTCCTGTACTCGGCAATGCTGGGACTGGGGAAATGGAACTTATTGAAGATGACCCATCGGCCACATTAGAGGTGTCTGTTGGTCTCACTTGTGTACCCGTGGACAAATTATTTCACCTTCAGGGCTTCTAATTACTGAGCATGACAGGCATGAAAATAGATACAAAAGAAAAATGTAGATACTGTCCTCAAAAGTGTGTGGGGAGACATAAAATCTATTGTAATGTGTCAGTATCAAAAAATGATAAAACTCTCCAGCTGGCTGCAGCTGGGTAGAATTTTGAAATGTTGGAGTGAGGAAATAATAGAATGAATACAGCTAGGTAAGATGAATACTAGAAAGTTCTGTGATGGGGGCAATGAGGAAAGGGAATCTGTATTTATATACTGTGGATTAACCAAGGTAGTACTTATTTTCAAAATCCAGGATTCACAAATTACTTAGGGTAATCATGCCAGGCAGAAGGCAGGTGTGTGTGTGTGTGTCTTCATTATGGATAAACCATTAACTATTAGAGTTACCACAATCAGGATTTGGGTGGTGATGAAGTAGATTGTGCTTCCTTAAATACAGACTTGCACTGATTTTGTCCTATTTCATTTCTGTGGTCCAGGTCAGTGAGCTCTGGTGCCAAACTCTCTGGGTTTGAATTCTGGTCCTGCCATTTTATCATTGACATAGTAAAAGTTACTTCCTTGCTTTGTTCTTCAGTTTTTCCATCTGTAAAATGGGGATAACACTGTTACCAATCTCACAGACTATTGTGAAGATTTAACAGGTTATTTGATGCATGTTGATCATTTGGAACAGTCCCTGGAACTCGATAAACGACAGGCATTATTAGTAGTGTTGGTGGTGGGAGTGGTATATAATCCATCCTCTAACTTGTCAAAGCCTTTCCCGAGTCTGTTTGATTTTCACAAGGAAGCAAAGGCTCACATTAACTTTCCCAGGTTCCATATCTAGCAAATGCTGGGCAGCTGAGCTAGAGCCCCCAGCCTCCAATTCATACCTTGGTTAAGTGGGGTTTTTTTGACCACAAAGCTGACTGGATTGTTGCCTGGAGGCAGAGCTGGATGGAAAATAGTGACTCTGAGATCAAGGGGGTAATGTGAACATTTTGGGTCTTCCCCCTTCTCATAGTCCCTGCTTCTAATCACACTCCCCTGTGCTGTCCCGCACACTCCAGAACCGTGGCCTTAGAACCAAGTGTGAAGGAATCAATGTCTACTCTAATACACGTCTGTCTTTGTGTCCTCAGGAATGAGGGGAGAATCTTACTTCATTGGAATGAGGAGCCTGGGGCAGCAGGGGCACATCCCAGAGGATGGAGGACTTTTCTTGCTCTGCTGCATAGACAGAGACTGGGCTGTAACTCGGTGTTTTGCAGAGGAAGCCTTTCAAGCAATCACTGACTTCAACGACCTCCCCAACTCATTGTTTGCGTGCAACGTTCACCAGTCAGTGTTTGAAGGAGAAGAGAGCAAGGTAATGAGCCTTTTTTGCTCCAAAATCATGGAGAGATGTGGCATTATCCCAAAATATTTCCATGGCTTATTTGTGATTGATGTTTTGAAGTTTTGGAAAATATGTGGTTGTCTCTATTCTTGGCATGCATAGCAGGAGGAGAAAAACCTATTCTGTTATCAACTAACTGTGACAAGGTTGTAGATGTTGAATCAGATCTCATCCTCAGAGACTCACTGGCCTATCTAACAGAGCACGTGGTATTAGGAATAGCGATTGCAGGAGATACCCCTTGGGCTAGGAAGCAGATGTTGTCTAAAAATTTTATTTTTTCCCATTCTGCCAAAACCATGATTTGCCTTTCTCAAAATGGCACAAGCTCTCTTGTACCCCTACCCCTCCTGCAGTTTGGCAAATGTTCCAAACATAGCTGTGAGCTGAGTCCTACAGGTTTTATTAGAAAGGTAAGTTGGCTGGTCATCTGAGTCTTGGTTTGCTCAGTGACACCACACAAGGTGGAATTGTTAAGTGTGTGGTAAGAATTTGAGGAAAAGTTGTTGATTTGAAATGATTGGGCAATGAGATTGTCTTGTGTACAAGTATTTTCCAGAAAATGAAATTTCTCATTTTAAGAAATAAACTTGATTCAAGGTAAGTATTCTTGGAAATCAGAGTTAAATATTCTGCTTGGAGATCTTTTTAAAGTTCATTTTAGATTTCTCTGACCTTTTTAGTGGGGTTTCTGAATAGATCAAACCTTCCCTGTGGATGTGGATTTCTAATTACAAACACCCACTATTATAGTATATTATAAAACATGGGCAACATCTTTTTGAGGGGAAGGGCCTTTTTTCCTAAACTAAAGTATATGCCTCTGTGTGAGATGTAAGAGTAGGATTTATGATTGCCATTTCACAAACTTGGGCTGATTTTGTCAATTGCTGAACTCCAAACTCCTTTGCCTGAAAACGATTACTGGAAGTCTTTTTTTTTTTTTTACCCTGGATTTTATTGGTTTTGTAAGCAATTCTGATAGCCTGGAGGATTAGGAATTATAAAGATAATTTTATATTGATATTACTTTGGAGTTGAACATTAAAATGATAGGCTAAAAATAGCTTGAAGTCCAAGGCCTTAGATGATTAGAACCTCCAGTGTTGTGATCCCTTGACTATTTGGAGTAAGAAAATGACACATGATCTCTTTGAAAGAAACTGAGAATTTTGCTCTTGGATTATAACCAGTTTATAACACAGATTATAATTTACTCAGAGCCAGTAATTTCCCCCCTGAAATCTACCTGACATTAACTATGAAATAAGATTCTGTGTTTTCTCATTCTATCATCTGTTTATCTAAATTAATCAACAATTAGAAGGATTTTCCTTAGAGGCCAAAAAAGGATTTTGCTTCTTTCCTAATTAAATACTTCTGGTACCTGGTAGATTGAAACACTAAGACCTAGGGAGGAGCTTTTCCCATTCTGGAGTGCTGCTCAAGCATGACTGATCTACTGAACCAGGATTGGTTATATAGGAAGACAGAAGCTTGGGGAGAGTTCCCTCATCTATTCTGATACTCTGATCTGTGATTGAATCATGGATTACAGAATACCCTCATTTAATTTGTATACAAAGTTGGTACATTGCAGCTTGACCAAAGTATTTGGTTTTAAAATGACCTCGATAAAATATTGAGTTGAAATCAACAAGATGTAGTGCAACGGAGCCAGTTTCAAATTATTTAGACTACATTTTTATAGCCAAGGAGGTGAATTTTATAATTGGCCAATGTCTACATAATTAGACTTATTAAATCAGGTAGAAAGTCTTCTACCTTGAGTGATTTTATGGCCCCCGTTTGAGGAAAGTCTATGGGATATCAAATAATCTGATCTAGATTCAGTTTTGATTCAATTCTATGTACTAACTATATCTATATCTATCTATGTATATAGATATAGATAGAGTTAAGGATGACAAAGCAAGATGACCAGATACCAAATGAGTTAACAATAGCAAAGAGGCATGATCATGGGACACTGGAAAAATGTATTTGGGGAGCCTTGGGACCCCTCATTTTCCCTGCAACATCTTTCTCTTTAAGTTCCAGACCTATATAGTCTTCCTTTTTCCTCCATTGTTTTTCAGTATCTTAACAAAACTCATTTGTTTTGTATGCCAATCTCTCAGGAAATTCTTTCCACAATGTTCAAAGTTCATGAATCTAACTCACAAAGTCTGATCATCATTATCTTTCCCAAAGGGTGGACATTTTAGGCACTGTGCTAAGTTGGTGAAGAGATACTTTTAGGTGGAGGGAAAAAGAACAAGAAGCATTTCTAGCACTCCTGCATTTGCCCGTGGACAAAGATGGCCATGGTGATGTTCTAAGATATTTGGCCTTGGGAAGATGCATTTAGCAGCCTGAAGTTAATACCAGGGGGATAAGGCATTGGAAATGATGCTTAGTATTCATTGCAGAGGTCCAGGTGGGTAGCTGGCAACATATAGAACTTGTTAGGGCAGAGCCCTTTCTTTCTTGGCACAGTCTACTTCTGGTTCATTGTTTCTTGATATTGATGGACTATAGTTTAGATTGTTTCTTGCAGTTATTATAAAGCATACATTTTAACTTCCTTAGCTGGGTAGGAGTTTAAGCTTTTGCTTTCTGACTATCATGAATGAGTCTTGCACCCATCTCTTCTCTGTCTTCCCACCTGTCTAAGATGATTTTTCTGAGCTCTTCTCCTTTCTGAACTAATTTGGAAGCCACTAAATTGGACTGTTAATATAGGTAACACCATAGGATATGATCTTATTATGCTTGTTTCTGTTTATCAAAGTAATAAATATTCTGACTGTTTATCCTATTCTGACACCTAAAGAACATTTTAAAAACTTCTTTGTGAAAATTGTTCACTCCAATCTTCTGTTAGGCAGAATTCTGTGAGATTATATTTTGATTTGATGCTTTTTGCAAGGAGCGAGCACATACTTCAGAATGGCTTGTTGTGGTCCAGATGGTTGAGATTTGTTTATATAACACAGAAGAGAACTGGAGCTGGAAGAAATTGGCATCTGCAACCAATAAATGCAGATTGCTGTTTGCATGCTACAGCTTGAAACATAAATATTTTTGTAGGAAGCACATTTAGAACTGGGATCTTCACAGCATGCAACACCTAAAAGTTACTAGGGTTCATTTCCCTTTGGCATGCTCCCCTGGGTTTGCCTTTCTGGATCCAGCTGGACTACAGAGACTCATCTTGAGACAGGTGAGGCTGGAGGGATATCCTGGGGGCTGCCCTGCGTCTGTTCTAAAGGTAGGTGAGGGTTTGCTCAATGGGATATTGGCATTCACTAGTAGCTAAAGGAGAATAGGAAGACAACCACCGTGAAACATTTAGTCAAATGAAATTCAGTAAGGAGAAGCCTGACTTGATAATGGCCTCCAAAATGATGAATTTATTCAGTTTAATAATAATAATAATCAGCAATAATAGCAGCAAATACTTATGTAGCATATAGCAAGGTGCCAAGCACTCTTCCAGATGCGTTACAAACATTAAAGCCTTTAATTGTCATGACAACCCAATAAGGGTACTGTCTTTCTGCTTCTCTACCTCCTGAGCCTTTATCAGAGTTGTCTTCCCTGGACCCCTCTGCCTAGTTCTGCCTAATGTGTAAGCAGAAGTGACCCGTCACTTCCAGGTGAAGCATTTAATTATGAATGTTTGACCCTGAAGAATGTTCTTTTCATGCTGCTGGGGCAACTGGCATTGTGCCCGGTGGTGCCTGCTCAGGCAGTTTGGGTTGTGGGGTGAGGAGAGTGATGACACAGAGTGGAGTCCTGGCCAACCCATGAGGAACATGTAACATGACAAGAAAAAAACTCTCTGGGTTTGAATTCTGGTCCTGCCGTTTTATCATTGACATAGTAAATGTCAATGTTGCTTTAAACCACTGGGAGTTGGGGGTTTATTCTTAAGAGTGTAACTTATTCTCTCTAGGTTGGTACAGTAAGCACAAGTCCTCTCGACCTTTGATTCTAGTTCATTACCCACTGTACCTCACTATTTCTAAACTCTACTATGGAAAACAGGTTCTAGAAATAAATTTGGCCATCCACCAGCATGAACATTCAAGTAAAAGAATATAAGGCAGAGAACTCAGGTAATTCAATAGCAAGACTCAAGCTACACGTGAATGCGTCGGTTGAGTCCAAATCAGTCCGCAAAGGATAAACAAGAAGATGATTTACTGTAGTTTAAGTGTCGCTGAAGATAGGTTGAAAAAATAAAAAATGAAGTAGTCTATAGTGACCTCAGGGTGGGAAAATGATAACTGAGCATTTGTTTTAAATACTAAAGCAGTTAACAGTTAAATTAGCTACCACGTATAAGGAATACTTGCAAGTTTCACTGTTTTTCTTGTGCTATTCATCCTTGATAGGTGAAAGTGACATTTACAAATAGGTTTGTTGCTTTAAAGAAGATCTAAATTTGTAAAAAAGACAGTGGGTATCATTGTACTCAGTTAAGTTATTCCCGTTTTGTCTTTTCTCTGGACGATGACTGGGAACCATAATTAGTCACCGCTAATCACTTGGGGGCACCTGCCAGATGAGAGGCCCAGCGAGGGGCAGATTTGAAAGCTGCTGTAGGACATTCCCCGGAACCTTAACCTTTCCTAAAGTGACTGAAATATTCCAGAGGCATATTTAGAGTCTTGCTTCTCCACAGCACTGAGTGACCCCCTGGGGCTCGAGCGTCTGACAGGCCACTCTAAATGCCCCACTTAACTACCTGAAAATAATTGAGGCAGGGGAAAGAATTAAGCCTGATGCCTACAGAGTTGAGAGTATTTGGTTTCTGTGCCAAAGAGCAGGTGAGTATATATTCTTGATGGCACTTGGGGAAAAACGGCTGCCATGTTCCAATTAGTCCAGGATAGTATTAAAGAGGGACAGGAGGCTTTTTTCCTTTCTTGGAAAAATGAAGCTACTTGGAAACCATTTCA